CTGCTTCTCCCTCGGACCCCCCCCCCCTCATGTGCTCTCTCTCTCTCATTCTCTCTGTCTCAAATAAATAAATAAAATCTTTAAAAAAAAAATTGGTAACATTTAAAAAAAAAAAAAAGACCTCTCATGATGCAAAAACCAAGTATCACTTTATACAGACAACATAATCCTCAAAGTCCGGGAGACGATTTTTTTTAGCATTTGTTTCTCCCTTCGTCTTTGATATTTCTCCTTCCCTAAGTCCTGCTGGTTTCAATATCCACCCAGATGACCCTTCAAGGACTCTTTGGCCTCTTGTTACTATAGCTTCTCTCTGCAGCATCTTTCCCTGGCCCTACGTCAGCCACTCTCCCACGATCGTAGCTTAGGCCTCGTCATTAGCGGCAGTGACACCCCTCCCCAATGTCCATTTCAACCCTTCTGCTGTGCATCTGCATCTCCACCCATCCCCAAAAATGCTTCTAGCATGCTCTTTCTTGTATTGCAATCTCCACCTTGACTGTGACCCCAGCAGCCCTCCACACAAGTCGCCCCCTAAGTAGTACCGTCCTACTTACCCAACCCAGACTCCAGGGACCATGGTTTCAATTGCTCGCTTGCACACTCCCTCTGCTCCCTTGAACTCTTCTCCCGTCATCCTCCTTGGGTGGCAAAGTCTGAGCCAGGTTAACCCACCTCCCCGGCCACCCCATGCCCACTACTTGTGCAGGTGAACTGGGATGGGGAAAAAACCACACCCATCTAATCTGATGTTAGGTAGACTTTAAGTCTGAGTAGAAATAAAATAAAGTGGTAAATAAAATAAACTGGAAAAACCCCATAGTCATTGGAAAGTATTTGTTATAAAATACCTAGGCTTGAGAGCCTGGGATTGAAAACACAAACCTGATGGATGTTACCCCTGGATCACTCAGCCAGCAGAATACATGGAGATGTAGAAGTGTGGAGACATGTCCAGAGGTTTCTGTTTTTCATTTTAAAGCAGACTCCGTGCTGGGCATGGAGCTCAACGCAGGGTTTGAACTCACAACCTGAGATCTAGACTTGAGCTGAGATCAAGAATCAGATGCTTAACTGATTAAGCCACCCAGGTGTTCTGACATGTCCAGAGTTTTGTAAAGAACACAGGAAGTGGGCTTTAAAAGCCCAGCATTTGCAGGGCGCCTGGCTGGCTCAGTCGGTTGGGCGTCCAACTCTTTATTTAGGCTCGGGTCGAGATCTCGGGGTTGTGGGATCGAGCCCCATGTTGGGCTTCGCACTGGGTGTAGAGGCTGCTTGGGATTCTCCCTCTTCCTCTCCCTCTGCCCCTCCCTGCCTCCCCCTCTCAAAAAAAACAAACAACAAGCCAAAAAACAAACAAAAAATGGCCCAGCATTTGCTAACTCATCTTTGCTGCTTTAATCTCGTCACTGCTAGGGACCCCCAAGTAGGCTTCAGAGAACATTTTACTCTAAGTGTGGTCTCTTGGTCTGGTTACTCCCACAGAGCATATTCAACTGCATGGAGGTAAGATACATATGAGATTGGCTCCCTTTTCCCTATAATTTCTAGAATAACAGAAAGCAAGGGTTAGAAGGGACCATAATAATGATCTATTTCAATGACTCCCAAACCTGGCTACATATATGATCACTTGGGAGGCTTCCAAAAGTTAGAGTCCTAGACTCTAGCCCAGACCTTAAACCCAGAATATTACAGGTTAGCATTGCTCCCCCACCCCCCACAAGGACTGAGCTCAGGGTTCTGGGCTCCAGCACCTGCCCCCCACTCCATTCAAAGCTTTTACCAAAATACCTTTTTTTTTTTTTAAATATATTGATTTGAACTCGACAAGGGAAGAAAGAGTAGGCCAACCAAAGTGAAAAACCCAGAGCAACTCTGTTCCTGTGATGGATGAGCCCAGAACAGCGTCTTAGTGTTAACAGTGTGAAGGCTACATGAACAGCACACTGGGGAGAGTCAGGGAACGTTGGCCTATGGGGAGCCTTTGTGCGAAAGAACAAAAGGCACCCCTTCGAGGAGGGGGCGACTGGAAGAAAGGCACCCCATCCCCTGGCTCACGCGGCCCCCAGGCAGGGCTCATGGGGCCCCATGTAGAGACGGACTTCAGCCCTTAGTGAGGGTCACCAACCGGTGTGCTCGGGCCAGGAGGAGGCATTTCTAGGACGCAAGACTTCCTGTGCTAACACCGAGAAAGCCCCCGGCAAAGCGGGACGGCTGGACCCTGGCCCCCTTCCCGGCACCCGTCTGTTCCCACCTTCCTGCCCAGACCCAGGAGGCTGTCCAGAGGCAGGATTATGGGGACCTGACACTTGACAGCAACTGCAGCTTCCTTTACCAGGACCGCTCCTGCTGGGGTTTCCAATGACACTAGCACTCAGTTCCAGAGCACAGAGCCTTTACCTTCCCCCTTGCCGTAGGAGGAGCTCGCGGTCCAGGCCTTGGCCTCCACGTATCCCAGCTCCCGGCAGACGACATGGGCCGCATGGATGGAGAAGTCATCGTCACACACGGTGCCCCACTGGCCATTGTAGTACACCTCCACCCGGCCCTCGCTGTGCTTCCGCTTCTGGCCAGCCAGGCGCAGCTGGATCTTCACCACGTCTGACGGCACCTGGGGCCGGGGGTACTCGGGTGCAGGCTGCTGGAAGTACTCGGGGTAGTGGGGCCAGCCCTCGTACTGAGCCAGGCCCAGTGACGGCAGCAGCGAGAGCAGGGCCAGACAGCCTCCGAGGCGCCAGCCTCCATGAGTCTCCATCCCCGGCCTCTGGCTGGAGGACCCGAGCGAGGGGGCGCTGGGCAGTGTCCTGGAAGACAGGGAGGGATGCAGGTGACGGGGGGGGTCTACAAAACGTCCAGCTTAGTATTTAAAGCTCTTCACCCTCTGGACCCCGACCTCCTCTCTTCTCCCACCTGAGACTCCAGCCGACAGGTATGTGAATCCCTACCTCTTCTGCCCACCCACCTTTCCCTAGCTCTGAAATGCTTTTTCTCAGTGGGGCTCCTGGCAGGCACAAGGGCACATTCACACTTCATTTGAGCAGAGTTCTTTTTTTTAAGATTTTATTTCTTTATTTGACAGAGAGAGAGAGAGAGTGAGCACAAGCAGGGGGAGCAGCAGAGGGAGAGGGAGAAGCAGGTGTCCCACTGAGCAGGGAGCCCGATGCGGGGCTCGATCCCAGGACCCTGGGATTATGACCTGAGCCGAAGGCAGACGCTTAATGGACTGAGCCCCCCAGGCGCCCCTTGAGCAGAGTTCTTAAAAAGCCCATCCGCAGAGATGTGAGCAGAGTTCAGGGGAACGAAGGAAAGACAGCATGATACCCAGGGCTGGCACCAGAGGAGAGCTGTTCCCACGCCAGCTTGAGGGGCTGGGAGGAGTGGTGGCCAGTGTCAGAATGGCCAAGCCTGTTGGGAGCTGTGGCTTCAGGGAAGGGTCTTAAGGCCAAACCACAGCCACAGGAGTAGGAGGAAAAAATACCTGACCTCTCTCCCTCTCTCCTGGTCTCCTGCTCTCTTTCCGGTTATCTCCTACTGGGCAAGCCCACCCTGCCGCCCAAAGCCAAGCCTGTATGGGTAGGCCTCCTGGGGCACAGGGGATGGTGGGGAGGGAGGGCATCAGGTGGAAAGGGCAAGCTGAAGGCATCCAGCACATTCTCCATCTTCCTGCCCACCTCTGTACAGCTGGATCCCCAGGGCCCAGGCCCGTTCCCGCCTCCGTCATGCCATATCCCTAGGGAAGTGGCCTCCGGGGTTCTCTCCTTCCCAGGTGGGCTCATCATCTAGACATGCTTCTCAACCTTTCCAGACACCTCCATGTCCCCAGGTAGGTTACAAACTTCTCAAGGGCAGGACTTGAAGCTCATTCTTTGGCTGCTCCAGAGTAAACATGACAGGTTCACGGACATGTTTATTGAACGAGAAGGTGATCTGGTTCCAGGGACTGAGCCACTGGTGAGGTATGGAGCTTGAGAGCACTGCATGGAAGGAGTCCCGTGTGCACTCTCTGGGCGTTCCTGTGTGTGGTGTCCTCCTTCCTTTGGGACGTTAACTGACCTGGACAGAAATGGCCTCTTCCGGGTGCAGAGAGTACCAGAGGAAGAACACAATGTTTGACTAACACGGGCTGCTCTTCTCTCTGCACACTCCTAGGGCTCTGCTCTCAGGCTCCAGGCCTTCAGACACACCCACACCCCTGACCTCATTACACTGTGTACCCGGGACCGCATGACGGGCGAGGCTGCTGAATGCGGAGGTCAGTGGCAAAGTCTCCTTAAAAAGCCCTCATGCAGGGCCTGTCCTTAGCTGAGCTTTGGTTTCTGCAAGCAGCAGCGTCAGACGGTCCCGATGCCAGTGATGGCCTGGGGACAGTTCCGTCCCTTTTCACGGCATCTGTCCCTGAGGGGTGCAGGGGGCTGAGACCAGTCTGCTCTTAGCACAGAGGGGAGGCAAACAGGAGAGGGGCTGAGTGGCCTGTCCTCAGGCAAGGGAGGACTGGACAGCAGAGTAGGGGGGGCGCACAGACTCTAGAGCTAGACAGCTTGGGTTTGAATCCTCATTCTGATCCTTACCTTCTGTGCAACCTCAGGCAAATACTTAACTTCTCTGTGCCTCTGTGCTTCCTATCTATAACATGGGGATAATACTATCTAGCTCACAGAAGTGTCATGAAGATTGAATGAATGGCACATCTTAAGGACTACTGGAGCATTTCCTAAGTGAAAAATTTAAAATCTCAAGACTGTGGTCACCATACCCAGGTGGAGACTACCACTAAGAATTCCACAGTGAGGATTATAGCAAGAGATAAGTACTTAGGTCATGTGTCCTGGTCCTTCCATAGTCCAGAGAGAGGGAATACTAGCTTAAAAGGACTGCAGGTGTTTCCCAGGAGAGGAAGCAGTCTTGGGATGTGGGGCCCCAGAAGCAAAACCGGGACCAGCAGGTGGAAGCTAAAAGTAAAATACTTTCTATTTTAACCATGTACAAAGGGTTAGGCTAATCATATTCAGTACATGGCGCCTCACCATTGAGGAAGGACCAGATAATGGCCCAGAACTGTCAGGACGGCCAGGCAGTGCCCAGTCCCCCGTAGTGGGCTCGGGGCAAAGATGCCAGTGCTTGGGGGTCGGTCAGGCCCGAGGACTGTGGAAGGCCCCCCAGTTTCACTGGAGATCCACCCATCGTCATCCTGTGACTCACGAGCAAGGTCGGAAAGTCACGGGGGCTCCTGCAATAGCCCCTTTCAGGCACAGCCTGGCAAATGAGCAGTGTGGCTCTGAAGGGAGGCCTCGTCGCCTCCCCTGGTCACACTCCATTCCCATCAGAGCATGTTTGCCCCCCCGCAGGCTTGATCAACCATGCCTCACTAAAACCTCGAGGCCTGCTGGGGAGAAGGCAGGGATCATGATTCTTCTACAAGGGAGAAACTCAAGAACCAGAAAGGATTAAGGACTTCCCTGGAGTTGCACATCAGTGCAGGTAAAGCCAGAACTAGAAATCCCAAGCTGCCACAGCATCAACAATCCACCAGCACATAATAGGAAAGGCCCAAAGTCTGCCTGGGGCAGAGAAGCCTCTAGAGTTTGGCCCATACCTACATGCTTGGCTTCAGTTCCAACGACCCTTCTCTCCCCGCTCTCACTCCAGATCTTCACATGTCACCGGTCCAATCATATCAGCTTCTACTCGGCGGAAGCTTTACACCTAGATCAATGTGCCCCTAACCCCTCCCTCTCCCCTTCCCTCCAAATAGTATATGTCACAAGCCCACCCATTCTTCAAGAAAACCTTCCCAGATGCTCCTGTAGGGGCTAAAGGTGGGCCACTCTAAGATGGGCCGCTCTAGCATGAAGATTATTTTGAGTTAAAAGCAATCAAAACCCAGCAGATTCAGGAAAAGCTCTTCACCTCCCCCTCAACTGCCTAAAAAGAATTTAGATAGAGGACCTGCTCCAGGAAGAGAGCTGTCACCACAGAGAACTACATTATGATATGAACTGAGTGTGGTAGACAGGGAGGAACCTAGCAAGGCCTGTTTGATCCAAGTCCTGTGGTCCCACTGTTTCTGAGGGGCCTGAGTGGCCCCCCTCCCCAACATTTGTTTATCAAACATTTATTTTTTCATCTTGCTGTGAATTGCATTCCTTCCTCTGAAGTCCCGGACACCTACCTCCTTTCTTTAGTTGAGGAAGACGTATGTACCTCATTTTGCCTGACTGTCTTTGGAGTTTCCATGTCTGTGTAGATTCCCTGTATGTATGAAATTAAATCTGATTTTTCTCCTGTTAATCTGTCTTATGTCAATATGACTCTTAGCCCAGCTAGAAGGGCCTTGGAGGGCAGAGGAAATTCTTCCTCTAATCAGAATGAATGTCTTCTCTGATTTCCTTTAAAATAGCATTTTGGTGCTCCCTTCGGCAGAACATATGCTAAAATAGCATTTTGTTTGCGCTTTACACAATTAACCTTCCCAGGGCTAGTTAACTCCTTGAGATCTTTATCATCTCAACTCACAAGTGTAGTTTTCATATGCAAACCAACCAATCCAGAGCCCTGTCCTCTCAACTACCTCCTTACCAAAAATCTCATACTTTGGGTCACTATCCCTCTGCCCTAATCACCCCAAGGCCAGGTACCAGACAACTTGAGACAGCCCCTCAGCCTGAGTGAGCTGAAATCATTTGACCAGCCAATCCTAAACCTGCTTAGCCTGCTTCTTAGGCCTCACCCATTCCTTCCTGTGACAGTCACAAGAAAGACTCTTGCCCACAGTTTCCCCTCACTCCCTCAGCCTGTGACCAACCCTGGTGCTTCCCGGTGTGGCCCCTTATTGTGTGCCTTGCCTCCCATTTCTAGGAATCAGTGAGTATAAACTTCTTCCTTCATAATGGTTTATTTTTTAAGCGGCCATTTTTAAAAAGAAATCTTACTCTCTGCATGTGCCTATCTCCACACTGTTCCACCCGTCTTCTTGGATTCTCCAACCTGTGGGAATGGCCAGTGTTCACCTCCTAAATCTTTCCTAGAAAAGTGCTCCTGAATTTTTTGTTTCTTTTGTGGAGACTTCTGCTTCCTACTCTGGGGGATTGTAAAGTATTAGACCCAGATGCTTCTCTCTTCTTTCAAAATTAACTTTTATGCTTTTTTCTTCTGGAAAAGTTACGCAAACTAGTGATAAAAACCTGGATAATGCAAACAAGTAAAAGGAAGAAAGTAATTCGCAATATCACTGATGGAGGGAACCATTACCAACACTGTGCTATGTATCCCTCCAGACTTTTTTTGTACATATGTATAAACTTTAAAACACTGGAATAATTTTCTACATACTTGCCGTGTAAACTGCATTTCACAATTACCAGTATATTGCAAATACTATGCCACTTTGACTTTTCTTAACAAGATTTTTATCGATATGCCATAAAATTGGATAATCTTGTCACAAAATTTTTGACTGCTATAAACATTGTGGAAATGAATATCCTTGTAGCTAAAACTCTGCACAGTCTTGGGATAAATTCCAAAAAGTGAAATTGCTGGGTCAAAGAGCGGCAAAAAGTCAACACTTTTGCAAAACTATATTAACTGCCCTCCAGAAACACTGTCAACTTGTGCATCAGCCAGCAGTATGTAGATTTCCCCACAAATTCAAAATTCTAGCCATGACCAGGTTTTCAAACCTTTCTCCATCTGATAAGCGGAAAAGGGTATTTTTGTTTTAACCAGCATTTCTTTTGTTATTAGTGAGGTTGAGTGCCCCCCGCCCCCATTCTTATTGGCCACCTGCATTTCCTTTCTTCCTTCCTTCCTCT